AAACCAGGCACCACCCAGGAGGGCACTCACGCCTAAGAAATTGGAGGCAGTCGGAAGTAAGTGTTTCATGCTTAGTATATTTTCCTGAATTTAGGGACAGTAAAATTTATCATTTATATGAACCAGTAAGTCCCTAATTGCTACATATTCCTGCTCATTTTTACAGACGCCTTCAGCAAGTAAATTGCTGGGAGACCTAGAGAAACGGCACCAATGGAGAGGTTAAGAAAAATGAACAGATTCATTGCCGAAATGTTGAACGACCTAAATAAATGAGTCGTCAAAACATTACTCACTCTAGCCTCATCGTGTTTATTTGATATCATTGCAGCATACCTACACTACATTGTTTATTTTACTGTGTGCTTCATGAACTAGCATGCCTTTCTTAATGTATACATTCTTTTACTGCATGTTAATTTTGACCCAAATAGCTAATCCAACCCATATCACCTGCATAACCTGTAATACCCATACATTTGTTACACTTATACCACCTGTATGACCCGCACCACCCGCATGACCTGCACCACCCGCATGACCCGCACCACCCGCATGACCCGTACCACCCGCATGACCCGTACTACCTGTATGCCCCGTATCCAATAACATCGTATGTACAGGTCCTGTACATGTAGGAATTTTCAGTAGGGCGTCTACAAAAACGGTAAGATCTGTGGTCACAAAAGTTTCGGTGTTACAACTAGTCGGCTTTATGACGTCTTGTGGTAAAAATAAAGGGGACCTTTTTTTGTTGCCTTGACGGCCTGAAACCTCACCCCCGGAAGTCGCCGCCTTCAGTTTCCCCGGCGTGGACTTGGTGACTTCCTTCCACTGACGTCGGCTGTAGTGCGGTGGCGCGACGAAGGCAAATATGCCGGAGACGGAGAGCGTGGTCGATGTCCCAAACCTGGCTGGTAATCAGGCATATTGTTGTCAATGTGGCACGGCAGTTTTCAAAGTGGGACCGAGGCAAGGGGGGGGGGGGTCCTTGAGGATTGGCGTTCCGGCGTGGTGCGTAGTCATCGTGGGCGCGTCGATCGTCAGACCATTGCGGAAGAGGTCGAAACGTATCGACATGGTGCCAGCAATGACGAGAACTGTGGCCCACACCTCCGCTGGTAAAACAGAGCGAACGTCTGCCTACAGTGCGCCAGACGTCTGTTTTACGAAGCTGTGGGCGCCACAACGGCTCGTAATATGTAAATGCCGTGTCTCGTTGGGAGACGGCTCTTCGTACGGCAGCACTTCGTACAGTGGCACGACGGCAGGGCGCCGCGGTGTCTGTTCTTGCGGTGGCGACCAAGGAATGTCTGCCGATGTCTGGCGGTACGACGGCACAATGGGCGGTGAGCGGCGAAGCGCGGCTGCGTAGCTCATAGGTCGCATGATCGTGAGTAGGACCAGCTGCTGAAAACGATTCGCGTATTTCTTCGCGGACGACGTCAGATACAGACGCCATAAGTGGTTCTATGACCAGAGTCCGCAGCTTCAGCGGCTCCTCGTGAACAATATCTCGCAATAAATCGCTCAACGAGCTTTGATTATGAGATGTCGTCCCGGTGACTTGAATGTGGGCGCTGCTGGACAAGCGATCGTATTGTCGGCATCGTAGGTGAAGCGCCCGCTCGATAGCCGTAGCTTCTTTGATGAAGTCTGTCAAGTGCTTGGCGGGTTCCGCAAAAGTCCGGCGAACAATTGCTCTTTACCACCGCGCATGAGGTAGCGTAACTTTTTGTCGTCGGTCGTGTGCGGGTCAGCTTTACGGAAGAGACGGGCCATGTCCTTAGCGGACATTGCCACCATTTCATTGGGTTGTTCTAAGAACGCACAATGCAAAACCCAAGTGCTACAATGTTGCCAACATTGAAGGAGGCAATCTTAAAAGTGATCGACTGTGGCAACTGCTGATTGGCATGCTGTGGATCGAATGTCCGTCGCAGCATGTTTCCAAGCAGGATGTGCAATGCAGGCTGTAGAAGCTCTGGATTTGGCTTTGGCTTTAACCTTGGCTGCCGCTTTCACAGAACTTCAGCAGGCAGAGGGCGGAGATTGTTGGGAAGGCACTGGAAATGTTTGAAGCTGCTAAACTTATTTGACGCGGCTTGAGGAGCTGCCGAGGCGCTGGCGGCACCAGAGTCCAGTCAGGAGTTTTCATGCATGCCACAAACTGTTGCACTGGTACTAAATGAAAGATTCTCAAAACACTCAAGTAAACAGTTCTAGCAACCGCCCATTCTTTCATCTCTGACCACACTTCGCCCTGGAAAAGAAACTAAACTATTGCTTGTACAACTATTTTAAATATTGAAAAACTTTTCATATCACACATCATGCTAAAAATGCATTGCGTTGCTAATACATGCAGATGCGTGGATAAATTAGATCTTGATCAGATATTGGATGCAGCATATTAGATATCCAATATTGGAATTTGTTTTACCATAAATACGTACTTCGAGATTTCCTTGAGATGTTTGTAAAAGCCTTTGACAATGAGAACTGTCTCTCGACAAGCAAATAAACAAAATCCGCAGTGGCTGTCCACAATCTAGTAATTCAGTCTAGAAGGCCACTGGAGGTATTGCCATGTTCAAGGTAAAAAAAATTAGAAGATCTACCCAAAGGTTTTACAAAACACTGAGACACCTTATTCAGAAGTTCTGAAAGACCTCTGTGTGTATATGATAATATTATTATACCTATAAAGACATGTGATCATATTATCAGTGATGCGCACTTTTGTGTTCACTTGTAAATATATACAATCAATAACAAATGTTTCCAAACCACTTGAGCACCTGCCAAACTGCCTGTCCGCACCACCTAGCAGTGTGCCATCCATCCTCTACTACAGGGCCAGGCTATAAACAAATCTTCTTGTCACTCACTGGCCTTTCTAATTTCTATTGCCGTGTAGAGCATTGTTAGTGCCCAGTTTCCACACGAAGCAGTCATCTGGAGTATGAGCATTGCATTTTTATATCACAGCAGGACCAAATCTATCATTGTGCTTCGAGCAGTGCTTTTTTTGTTGGCAAGGTATCACTTTGTGATAAACATTGCAACTGATAACAGTTATGCTAATCGACTGCTTTCTAGGCAGAAGCATGTAGACGCAGATGCCTAAAAAGCATGTCCCGACAAAAAGTGAGAGGTGTATATAATTTATACCCGGTCAGAAAACAGACATTGATTGATTAATATGTAAGGTTTAACGTCCCAAAACCACCATATGGTTATGAGAAACTCCGTAGTGAACAGCTCCGGAAATTTTGACCACCTGGGGTTGTTTAATGAGCGCCCTCCTACCTGGCGCCTCGTTCCCCAGCTGCCGCACGCGTGCCGACAGCGTAGCTCAGGCGCGCATAAGCTCCGGCATCCGCGAAGATGGCTGCCAGGGCGCCTCTTGGTCTGAGCCAGTCAACCGTCGGCTCCTTCCCGCGCTGGCATGTCCGGGCACGCTGCGCGGGCCTAAGTCACAACGCAGCGCCATTTCCCTTTGGGCGTGCGTGACATCCTCCTCTCCTACGAACTGTGTTGCGCCCGACGATTCGCTCGTCGCGGCAGATGCTCTCAGGCCTCCACGAGAGGTTGACAGTCTGGCAAAGGCGGCACAGTCTGGCAAAGGCGGCACAGGTTCTCGCGCAATCAGAGCACGGGGTTCTTCGTTCTCTTTTGAAGGCACATACGCGTCAGTGCGTATGCTCCACTACAATACCCCCGGGGTTAAGAGTAGCCATCCTGGCGGCTCAGGGAGTAGGCAAAATGAGGGGGTCGTAGTAGGGCTTGAGACGGTCGACGTGCACGGTCTCATGTCCTCGACGGCGCAAGTCTGGCGATTGTGTTAGGGGCTCTGTGATGTATTTCACCGGAGAGGTTGCGTCAATGACACGGTATGGACCATTGTATCGGGCCAGAAGCTTAAAAGAAAGGCCAGGAACGTGCGGGGGCACCCAAAGCCACACAAGAGAGCCAGTACGAAACGTAGGCGCCGTGTGATGAACGTCGTCATGTCGGGTGTTTTGTAGACCTTGAACCTCACTTGTCACAGACCGAGCCAACTGACGGTAGTCTTCTGCGTATCTGGCGACTTCCGATAGCGGTGAGCACTCCGATGCATCAGGGCCGTACGGAAGTATGGTGTCAAGTGGGTGAGATGGTTCGCGGCCGTATAACCGAAAGAGCGGGGAAAAACCGGTAGTCGCTTGCGTCGCGGTGTTATAAGCGAATGTAACAAATGGTAATAGAGCGTCCCAGTTAGTGCGGTCGGAGGAGGTGTACATCGTAAGGATGTCGCCAAGTGTGCGGTTGAACCGTTCAGTGAGACCATTCGTCTGTGAATGGTATGCGGTAGCTTTCCGATGTATGATGTTGCATTGAGCGAGAATAGCTTGTATGACCTCCGACAGGAACACTCGACCCCTATCACAGAGTAATTCACGTGGAGCCCCATGGCAGAGAATGAAGCTGCGCAGAATGAAGACTGCAACTTCGTGGGCGGTCGCTGCCGGTAGAGCTGCAGTCTCAGCATAGCGTGTCAGATGATCGACGCCGACAATAATCCACCGGTTTCCAGAGCGACTATATGGGAGGGGGCCATAGAGGTCGATACCCACGCGGTCGAATGGGTGAGCAGGGCATGGGAGCGGCTGTAACATGCCAGTAAGGTGCCGCGGAACTGTCTTGTTCTGTTGGCAAGTGGTGCAAGACTCAACGTATTTCTGCACAAACCGATACATTCCTCGCCAGTAATATCGTTGGCGCAGCTTTTCGAAGGTTTTCAGGACACCTGCGTGAGCACTTTGGGGATCTGCATGTAAATTCATGCAGATGTCCGAGCGCATATGAGTTGGAACAGCAAGGAGCCACTTCCGACCACCAGGCATATAGTTGCGGCGGTACAGAATGTTGTCTTGCACGGAAAAGTGGGCTGCTTGCCGGCGTAGCGCTCTCGTGGAAAGGACAGCAGACGGATCGGTAAGGTAGTCGAGTAACAACGCAAGGTATGGATCTTTACGCTGCTCAAAAAGCATGTCAGTGGTGTCGATCGGTGACAAGGTGGCAAAAAGGGGTGACAGAGAAGCCACATCTAGAGTTAATGGTGATCGCGAAAGTGCATCGGCATCCGCATGCTTGCGACCGGAACGATATACGACACGGATGTCGTATTCTTGCAATCGAAGTGCCCAACGCCCCAGGCGTCCGGACGGGTCTTTCAAGGTGGACAGCCAACATAGAGCGTGGTGGTCTGTGACCACGTCAAAAGGACGGCCGTAAAGGTACGGGCG